CAGGTAGGTCCAGGGGACACAGCAAGATCAAAGAAGCGCACTGCTTCGGTGTAGCCTTTGCTGCTGGGGGTTCCGAGTGCTGACACAGTTTCCCGTCAGCGTGGCTAAGCCACATCTGATGGAAGGAGCTCTCCCTGCAACCCCCAACGCCATCAGCAGCGGGTGGCACAAGAGCCTCTTCCGAGCAGTCTCACCATGGTGGAAGCTCCCCTACGGCAGCAGGGAGAACCTGCACCAGGAGCTGGCCAGGCTGGGCTGTGCTCCTGCCGGGTGCCAGAGCACCACAGGTGCCCGGAGGCTCGCTCCGGAACGCCCAGTCCCCAGGAGGCAGCCCCAGCCTGAGTCGCTCCCCCAGTCCGAGGCACCGCACTGGCCAGTGTGGCAGCCCGGCTGGAGGTGCGCAGGGCGGCACCCCCTGGGCGGCGAGTCAGCAGCGGCCCGGCGCTGACAGGGTCTCCCTCGGTTCCCCTCAAACCCGTTCAGGCAGCAGTGAAGCTGGGGTTGCAGGAGATCAGACACACAGCATGGAAACGAGACCCAATTCGCCGAGTCCCCGGGGCTGCTGCACCTTTCCGTGACTTCGCTACAGGGGACGATTTGCAATTACCTCAAAAACCCCCATCAGGGAACGGCATCTTTGGATGCTCAGGCTGGCCTCTATGCCAGGTCCTGAAAGCTGCTGGAGCCGGGGAGGCTCACAGGGCTGCCAGCTCCCGCGCCGCTGCTGCAGTGCCGCGATTAGCTTGCCAACCACGGCACAGCTGTGTCTGACCACGCGGGAGTGAACAAAGCAGAGCCGGGCGTCTCCAGCCTTGGAGGAGGCTGGAGGGTGACCGCGACACCCTCTCATGCAGCCATTACCTGAATTCAGTCCCGTTTCCTTCCCTGGAAAGGGCCTCTGCGCCCACGGCCACGCTGAGCACGCAGGAGCCCTCGGCAAAGCACTCTGCAGGCTGTCGGTGCGTGCCCGGGGGATCCCAACAGTTCAGGCGGGCAATGTTTCCCCAGAGCGCGGGGACGGGCCTGTTTTGGCACCAGCACTGCCCGCAGCTCCCCTCTGCCAGTGGACGGACACGGGGAAAACCACAGTGGACGCCAGACACGCAATGGGGTGCAGGCACATGGCAGCTCTTCCCAGAGTCTCAGTGTGAAGCCAGCTCAGGCAACAGTCGCGGTGCCCGCGCCACAAGCCACACCGTGCTCCGTGCCCGAGAACTCGCGTTAGTGACACCGACCCGCTGGCACTGGACCATGCCGAGCCCTGACCTGTCCGATCCCGTGGCCGCGGGGCGTCTCCCCTCCCTGTTCCCCGGCTCACCGGCTGCTCGGGCAGGTTCAGCTCGGTCTGGCATGGTTCAGGCCTGCCTCCACCGCGGCACTTCCACAGACTACTTGTCTAGACCGACACACCAAGCGGCACAGGGGCGCCCGGGCCCCGTCTACGGGTTAGTATCCAGTGGGCAGCCAGTGACACTCCATGCACACGGCAAACCGAGGCGGCAAATACCCTTGTCATTCTTCAGGACAGGCTGCTTAGCCGGAGGAGCAGGGGCCTCAGCAGGGGCCACGGCTCCTCGGGGAGAGAGGTCCACCAGGATGGGCTGCACCGGCGGCTCAGCAGCAGGCAGCTCTGGGGGGATCAGAGGCGGCAGGTCGTCGTCGTCGATGGCAGCACCGACGGGGGCTGGGGCCTTCGAAGGGGGTTTGGATGGGGGCAGGCGGGGGCCCAGCTTGGTGACCTTACTGGGAGGGGTCTGCTTCTTTGCAGGGGGAGCGCTCGGCACAGAAGGGGCAGGCGGGGGGGGGGTACCCGCCGGGGCAGAGCCAGGAAGGACGGCTTCCGGTTTCTGGGGGGCAGGGGGAGCACCAAGGCGGCGGGCTCGGGGGGGCCGCGGGGACCCCCGGGGGGGGGGGCAGCCGTGACTGGAGCGGGAGCCGGCATGCCAGGTGCTGGGGCAGGGGCTGCCGGGGGCGCAGCCAGAGCTGGTGGAGCTGCAGGAGCTGGCGTGGCTGTGACAGGGCTCTTGGGAGGTGCTTTGGCCGCAGGAGGGGCGGCTGGAGCTGGCGGGGCCGCCGGCACTGGAGCGGCAGGGGCAGAGGGAGCAGAAGGGGCAGCAACAGGGCTGCTCTTTGGAGGCTTTTTGGCCGCAGGGGGGGCAGCTGGAGCTGGTGTGGCTGGGGCAGAGGGAGCAGCAACAGGGCTCTTGGGAGCCGCTTTGGCTGCGGGAGGAGCAGCCGGAACTGGTGGAGCTGCCACCGCCGGTGCGGCAGGGGCAGAGGGAGCAGATGGCACCGTGACTGGGCTCACAGCAGCCACTTCGGCCACAGGAGGGGTGGCCGGAGCTGCCACTGCCGGTGTGACAGGCGGGAAGCCGGCAGGGGCAGATGGGGCAGTAACAGGGCTCACGGGAGGCGATTTGGCTGCAGGAGGGGCAGCTGGAGCTGCTGGCGCTGCCACCAGCGGTGCAGCAGGGGCAGAGGGAGCAAATGAGGCAGCGGCCAGGCTCACAGGAGCCGCTTTGGCCGCAGAAGGGGTGGCTGGAGCTGCCACCGGCGGGGGGACCGGG